AATGATCGATTATGTAAGATTAAGAAGTGAATATAAATATATATTACAGTTTATCGGGTTGAAAAGTTGCAAAAATAATTCCGTTTTGACTAATTATACAACATGGGTAATGATTAAAATAATCCAATTTACCTCGACTGGAGGTGTACAACAACATGATTTATTTAGCTCTCGCTTCGGTGATCCCTATTTCCGGGATCTGTAGTGCCGTTCGACCAGTGCTTTTGAAACAATAATATGTGAAATTAATTAGAATTGATATTTTATCACAAGAATAAGTTAATCTATTTTTTTTTTTTTTCATTTTTCTTGTTTAAATCTTTAATGGTATTGGTAACAGGATGGAACTTTTGTAAATATGTGTGGTATTTTTTAGTTATACCTAGGCTACCAAAACAACATTGTCAACAATTTTTAGGAAATAACACTTTAAATGTTTATTAAAATTCATTTGATGTGTTTATACTGTAAATGAAAAAAATGCAGTAACAGCACAGGACTTCGTTTCGAGTTTTCCTTTTCCAAAAAATGTGACAATTTCTGATAATGACTCATTACAGTCATTGTAATAAATGCTCAGGTAATATGCTAGTCGTGCGTGTAGTGATGTCTCCTCAAGCTGGGGATTATCGTGGCTATTTTTAGACGTAAACAAATGATCACAAATGAGAGATTACCACAAACACTGAACAGGCTTCACACACCGAAATCTTAATTTATTTAAAGGTAGAAACAAAAAATAACGAAAGGAAATATTGAAAAAACGCGAACTGTTCCGCAACGTCAACAGACATGTATAGGCCTACGGGATTTTGCTAGAGATTTTAAACGCTTGGTCATATCTTACATACATGATTGTGTTCAATGGTAGAAATTACTGGCACTAGTCAAAATTCCATCCAACTTACCGCTGCAAGTTGAACCGGATAAGCGGCTAAAACATTTCTTCGTATTAAACGCATGCGCAACAAGCTCTTATCTCAATTCTAGCCTAGAGGGGGTACCCAAATTGGCGCTGGACTACGGGGAAATCGGAGCTTCTGGAAAATTCCACGAAACCCCAGAAATACACCCCATTTTCAAAACCCTCTCAGGGTCGTTCTTTGAAAGATATCGAAAAACCAAATATATCGGGGTTTTTTTCAGAATAACTTGGACTACTTATGGTTGGAGTTTCAGTTCGTCAGCTTTAAGTGTTAATTCTCCGGGGTGAATTATACAGCTACTAATGGTCAAAATGCCGATTTTGGCGTGTTTTACACCAAATATAAAACATTTCTAGCAGTTATCCCTATCTATTTTGTACAAATACTAGCGATTAAATCCTGAATATCATGAACTGATCTGTCGGAGATAACATCCACCTTCACGGCTAATACACGACAAAAAAACAAATTTCACATTAAGTTGCATCTTGTAATCATTCAATGCTGTAGAGTAAGAAAGGCCTTGGAGTAAAGACATACATTTTTAGATAAATCATTCAGTTTCCAAAAATATTGTCTCTAACCCCCTTTATTTATTTTTTCTGATACCGTTTTCAACAACAATAATTCCAGCTTAGGGCAGTCCAGTGTCTTTTATTGTTAATGAAACAGAAAACAAAAGCGTACAAGCTAAACTTATGATACAATATGTTGATGACATACAAGATATCAACACCATACATTTTGCCAACAGCATAAAATCCAAACGTGAAACAAGAATAAGTGGTGTTATCACCTTCCTCGACACTCTTTAAAATATGATGAAGAAATCAAGTTGGTAAAGATCCCAGAAAAAAAAGAAGTACACTGTAAAATACTGGAGTATTGATCCTCTTCCTCTTTACACCAAAATAACAATCACGAAAAGATGCCCCGGGGCCCCCTAATACGCATAAAAGATGAAACCTATATAATTTAAAGCTCCACAACACACGTAGTTAGTAGCAAGAACGAGGGGAAGGGACATACTCTTTCCTACATCTAAGTCCAAATAATAAATCGAATGACTTGTTGATTCTCTATTAATCATCGTTAGCGCCCATATGTAGGTGCGATGTGCTGGTCATTTGTCTACTGAATTCTACTTGTCATCTAAATACCATACGCCATGTGAACCTTTATATAATTCTACATATCATTTTCGTTTTCAGACGAAATAGGAAGCCAACTATATTAATATAAAGAAAACATCATGACTCGGTAACTAACAAACATTCCAAGACATCTATGTCAGAAAAGCAGCAAAGAAGAAGCCAATGAGACACTTGTGCAAACTAAAGGAAAGAAACAGTCAACAAGAACAAGAGCTGTTGGATAATTGCACCGCTAACCTTTTCGATAAAGGTTATCGAAAAGGTTAGTGGTGCTCCCCCCCCCCCCCCCCCCCCCCCCAGGAATCCCAATGCCTAATGCCATCATCTCGTTAGAAATACTAAATCGTATTTAAATGGTGAAATTTAAGAAATTATCGAAGAGTGTTTAAACTAGTTGTACGAGATTCTTGGTATGTGACTTGATTGGAAACCGTCATTAATCTTCATTTGTCTTCTGATAGGAGTGCCCGTCAACTGAACTACCAGCGTGAATTCCTGTCACCTACCTCTGTTCTGGTTAACATTCCCGGGGGTCCGTGGCCCAACCTGTCTTGTTCTCCCCATTTATAAGATTTCTTATTTATAACATCTATAAACTAAAGTTTAGCGGTATGAGACACTTGTTCGATTTAATTAAATGAGAAAGTATCCTTAAATTTCCTTAATATCAATTTGTTTTTTGATAGGATTGCTCGACAACTGAACTACCAGCGTGAATTCCTGTCACCTACCTCTGTTCGTGTCAACATTCCCGGGGGTCTGCCGTACGAGGCGTTTGAGGCAAGAGGTAAGGCATCCATTATCTACCTTTAGACAACAGCCCCAATTCCTGGTAACGGTGAAGGTGAACGGATGAACGTAAGACACATCACGTGATGCACCTGTAAAATGTGGTAATTGAACAAAAGGTTAATAGTTCGAAATCAATCACGTTTTCGCTGATGATGGCGTTCGTTTGTCAGATATCACTTAAAACACTAATAGTCAAGAAAGGTTAAATGGACTTAAGAAGAAAAGTGTGGAGTATCCCTATGCCAAGAGCAATGCTTTAGTGTGGGTGAAGCCATTTAAACCTGATAAAAGGAAAATGGTCCCTGTATTACGGGCACTTAATTAAGGAAGATATGGGTAAATCTTTGAAAGGCTATTCCGGCAGTACGCAAAAAGTGATTTTCACCTGGATTTATTGAGAGAATCTCTTTATAATGAGAAAAGAAATCGATATTAAATAGACGAACAGTGCATACCCAATTGTTTCAGATAGGCGAGAGAGAGAGAGAGAGAGCATTTTTTAAAGATTGAATTATCCTTGAGGATTAAATGATTTTTTTTATGGATAATTAAAAAAAACAACACTTCAAAACCAATGAAAGGAAATACACGTATTTAAGAGTGGTGGATCCCAGGGTCCAATATATTCAATATTGCATAAAAAAAGTTGGTTGCGCCTGTTTTTATCACACGAAGGTGTTAACTCAAGCATTTCGTCTCATTTAAAATCTCTATTTTACAGGATCAAAAGTCAGCCCGTGGAACCTGTTTCAGCTGTTCGAGTCCGCACGCGTCTTCGCATTCTGGCCCCTTCCAAACGCCGAGCGACCGAATGAGTCATTCGCCGACATCTATAAGATATTACAGGACAACCTAATGTTCACGGCTACGACAAACCTTTCCATTAAACGACCATTATACGACGACTTTACGCCGAAGTTTCCTTTGTCTGTCACCGTCAAACTTGACTACATAGGACGCACATCCATCTTGACAACAAGTACGTTGGCGCATACACATTCGAATCCCTACGCCGTGTGTAAGTTACAATCTATCTTGGTTGACCCCGCCACCAGAAAGCCTACGTCATTTCCGGATTGGTGGCGACAGAAATATGCAAACGACTCTGCAGTTGATGGAAGTGCGTTGATCATGAAAGATTTACCGGATGTAGACGTCGACCAGTGTTATCAACATGACGTCATTGTTAACCCACGTGACTGTGACGCATATTCACATACAAACTGGGCAAATTATGTTCCATACTGTTCGGACGCGTGCAGGTTTGGGTTGTTGCAAAATAGATATAAAAATATCACGGATAGTTCGCTTGAAAATGGTGTGAAGGAACTTGAGATGTCTTTCCGTAAGGAATCGAGTGTCGGTGACACTCTAAAGATAATATCTTGGGAAACTGGAGATGGTCTTAACTTCCGAGTTTTGAAAAATAATGACACATGCGTCCAGATGACGATGCATTTTTTTGAAGATATCGCAGAGGATAAGTAGCATGTTTGCCTTCATCTCATGGGTAAACTAATGTATTGTTGCATTACTTAAGAAAAAACTTATGAAAAGCAAATTCCTGAAAGTTCCATTTTAAGCAAGTTGACATCTCAAACAACTCTCAATTATTGACAAATATAATCCGTTCACGGGAAAACATTACTTTACAAGTACCAGAACTGTTCTGATTCTGATGCTTTTTCATTGTCAGATATATTGTTCTGACAAGTGATGTGTGAATCAATTTGTATTCAAAATAAAGTTATTGGAAAAAGGAGATTGTTTCCTGTTATGAAATCATCAAATCAACAATCCCCTGGTCGTAATATTGATATTATTTCCTATATATTGCCTTTGGACATGCACTCTTGGACATTTGTTATGTTTTGTTCACCTCATTTAAAAATGAATTAAATCTTCTGATTAACCTTTCCTATTTGTAACCCTGAAAGAACATGTTGGATCTGTACTGTTTAACATTAGAGGCGGGGGGTCCAAGAATGCATGAAACGACAATTATACGACGTGAACAATGCATAAAATGAGGTTACCTCTATCGTCAACATGTTAATCCCCTTATAAGGCCGAATAAAAAAGGTTGTTTGATTCCGTTAAACCTATATTTACCTACCCTATTTTGTATGCCTTCCCTGACCTTTTGTCAATTTTCAAAGAGCACTGTTAAAGCCAATATTACTCTCCTATATAAAACTTATAAAAACAAATGGGGAAAAAAAATAAAAATATTACCTACCTTCTCTAAATTTTTCGGACATGTCACATGTAACAAACATGTTTTTGGGTAATTAGTAACCGAAATGAATCCTATGAAATGATAACTTATGTAAAGTTAAATCATATCCGGTTCATGTAGATCATTTCTCCGTCACTTGCTGTAAAGAGGTACATCATACACATCGACCTCAAATTAACATGGTTATGGACAGTCGAGACCACAAAGAAAAGTCCATACCTTACTGTACAAGAAAACGAGAAAATTATTTTGCCTGTACCCTTAAGAATTTATAATGAAAAGTGAGCGTTTTGTATAATCATAATTCCACTACGTATTTTTATTTGGAAAATATACACATTTATGTGTGTATCTGTGTGAATTTATTTATGTATGTATGTATTGTATGTTTTGTTTTGTATGTTTTGTATGTATGTGTGTGTGTGTGTGTGTATGTGTGTGTGTGTGTGTGTGTGTGTGTGTGTGTGTGTGTGT